CTCAATAATTCCAGTGTTATCAAAAAATAGTGTCGTGATATGATATTATGAAGTGCAGAGGTTATAACTGAAGTCTTTTGTACTTGAATTCCAAGTGAAACATAGGGCTTCAACAGTGCACCTCCACTTCATTCTGCTCTCTGGGGTCTTCTTTAAATGGCTCTACTATTGCCCACAAGCTCTCATCTACTCCTGCGATGCTCAACTCAGTGTCACTCTTGGACGCCCAACTCACCGTTTTCCATTCAGATTCCATTTGAGAGCTCGGCGTACTATGTCGTCCAGTGACCTCAGTATGTGTCGAGACCATCCCGATTCTCTTCGGGATATTTGTTGGGCAATAGGTTTTTGGTTAGTTCGTTCCCATAGTTCCCCGTTGCGTATCTTTTCTGGCCATCTAATCCTTAGTATTGAACAAGGGTAGCTATCAGTGAAAGTCTGAAGCCTGTTGAAAATACTTTTTGTGACTCCTGTGTCAAGTCTATGAGCCATATCAAAGTTCTTTATGTAGACTGTAGCAGATTTCCACACTGACTTCACAGTAACGAAGAATCCTGCCATTAACATTCTAAACCCAGCCTGTAGTTGAAACGATGCCACCAAAGAGGTGACATCTTTCAAATTTCTTCTGGTTATAGTGATTAATGCTTGTTGTTGTTTTTGTTGGTAGTGACCGAGTACCTTCATCACCTCTATCTTCCATATGTTCACTTGAAATCCTGTCTGCCTCTTCAGACAACTTTTTGGTTTTCACCTACAGATCTTAGAGTTTTTGTGGCATTATGCATAAATCACCCCCGAAGTCCATATCCTTTGGAATCCGTTTATATTTTACAGTGTTTATTCTATCTAAGCTTTATTCCATGACAGATTTCTCCTCTGTAGAGTAACTCAGGCATATACATGCCTACCCTACCATATAATCGTTACCTATTCAAATACTTTACAACAAAAACGTGTTCACACATTGGAATGTTGATTAGATTAGCACATATAAACTTTGATATTATGGATTTTCAGTTTACCATTATTTTGATATAGCTATTAACATCAAATAACAAGACGTCATTAAAAGCAGCCTCGTTTTATTATTTTTTCCATTCATTCATTCTTTGGAGAACACAAGTCTCAAAATAATGAATTATCTCAGTTTTATAGAAATCCTTCAGGTTTAGTATGAATACATTAGTTAGTTTGGCTACAATGCATACTATAGACGTGAAATAGAAAAAAATGAACTCAAAACATTTTCTATAAAAATCATTATTTATTATGAAGAAATGTATGTGAATATAAGAGAGTTATATGTGAAGAGTTATTCAATTTGTGAAGTACAATAAGTGAACATATGATGTTAAAAGAATGACAGAATAAAAATACACTAATCCTGATAAATAATACGGAAGTAATGAAACTAGCCATGAGAATTTACAGACTGCAAACTTTTAGGTGAATATCAAATGAAAATGTGGTCATATTTGACGATTACAGTATCCAGAGCCCACAAAGTTCCATTAAGCTGTTAAATGCAAATCTGCTTTAATAAAGACTAGTACGAGAAGTAGAGAAGTGTTCAGTAGAGTTACATTCATCAGATCGAGTCACATTTAATGCAGTGACCAACTCTCCATAAGACAATGAGTTCCCGGATGTTCATTTGAATAATTGCAGTAATCCCGTCAAAATGATGGCATTTACACTTAAATTCGTATAAACATCATATGATAATGTGTTTCACTGGATAAATTCTGGATGACTTTTTAAATTATATGAAGAACACAAATGTCTTGAAGGTGGACAGGTAGTATAAAACTACATACTACTGACTGACTGAGATGAGTAGATGTATAACACTCACATCAAACAGTGGTGCTTTCTTGCCTAAATGTGGTGGTCTAAACATCGGGCGACAGTTCCGCTCATTTAGGGCCGAGCTCATCAGCGGTATTGTAACAACAGACGACAAGGGCCGGCATCAGATCGTTTTATTACGGAAATCAGCACGTATTTATATATATTTCATGTACATTATTATAGCTTATTCAAGCAGACAAACGCAGTCTTCTGATTGTTTTCTGGTTTCTTGGAAAGTTAAGCCATACATCTGCGAATCATATTTGCCCACGTTAAGTCTGCTGTGATTGGTTGTTGAATCAGCCTTGTTCATATTTTCTCACGGCCAATATTAGTGACCTAGACATTGATGTAAATTAATGTCTACCAATTGGCTAGCAGTCTGCTCTCACCACAGTATAACCAGTTTGACTCATTTCAAAGGGTCGAATCAGTGCAAATCATCTGAATTATGTTTAGATCACCTCGAGCTGACTAGCGAGCATTACTAGTTGATATGAGGGGTATATAAATACTGATCTTAATCAATCTGCAGTGTATAGCTTTATGCAAATATGCTTGCTTTCTTGATTACCGTTTATGATATCAAGTATATCGCATACTGTGACCAGCATAATTTGATTTCCAAAGGAAACCACAGTGAAATGTTATCCCTCGAACTGTTTACATTGCAACATGCTAATTTATTTTTCATTCCTTCACGTTCCTAATGGAACAGAGGACTTCAAGCTAGTGGCTTGAAGTTTCTGTAGCAGTGTTTATTTTTATTTTATAGGATGGGATTGCTAGCCTCATGCCTAACCTTTCCTCTTTACCAGTTTTTATTACTGGCTTAGCGAGATAAAGGAGTGCGTCGGTGGCCGGGGATCGAACCCCGGACCATGTACATAATCAATCGGTGAGAGTCCTAACCACTGTGCCACCGACGCACAACATGCTAATTACATTTGCAAATTGTAAATCTGAATAATAGAACAGTTAGGCAAACTGACTTATGAACTGAGACAGATATAAGCCGAAATAACATGTAATGTGATATGAATGTCTGCAGTCAATCCAAGTCGCTTATTTAGTATTTTGAATGAAATTACTACAATAACTAGTTCACTGTTTCAGCACGTGATTTATCTTTGCAAACTAATTACAGTGGTATATTACACTTGTACTTTGTTTTTTTTGTACCTCATTACATAAGAATTTATAAATCCTGATAACTTTTTTATCGGCTCGTCAAAAACTCATCTGCTTAGACGCATACGACAAGTCATATTTAATCATTAAAGTTAACACGTCACTTACTAAAGATTAAACAACTTTCTAAATGAAATAAAGTAGTTCAAATGTAGAGACCAGAAAAAAACTGATAGGTTAATTAGTAGTTGTAATCCTGAGTTTTTTTCTTTCTAGTTATTGAAGATCCATGGAAATTCCCTCCAGAATAATGTATAAAATGAAGTCACTGGAGGGGAATTCGCTGACATCTTTCTTGTAAACAAGAGAAGGTTGCTTTTCTTGAAAAATGGCAAACTTTGTACAGACAGTAATCTTAAGTAAGTAAGTGAGTTTTGTCATCATGACTCTTCTCTAACAACCCGGCAAATCGTCTAGTTAAAATATCTCTATTAACTATTTGTATGCTTTTTGTTACATCTCCAATTAAGGGGATGATTCTAATTTCTTTTTTGAGTGGTATTCAAAGCATATACATTTGCATGTCATTTACATTAATGAAAATTTATTGCCCATATATAGTAATGTTCTGATTATTCGGTGTATGCTTAAGAAAAAATTGCTTATTTGCTGACCAGTCTTCTTAACTTGTATTATACAGGTACTTTCCATGTGAGGTTTCTTGATATTAGTATAATGTGAGGATTGGAAACATACACTGTGACTTTATGAATATATTATTAATGAATACTTGAAAAATGCAACACTCAAGGCTCATTAATGTGATATATATATATATATATATATATATATATGATATTCATGCTAAGTGAAGTTAGAAAGAATACTGTCAGAAACGTGAAGCGATCCGATTGTCTCATTTGAGTCAAGCTCTAGTAAACAGACAGCAAGTATCGCACGTGACTATTTGATATCAATAAAGATGAATTTCCTACTTATAGTTGAGACCAACGAAACCTATATCGAAGGTGAAACTAACATCTGAAATACAGAGAAACCTAATGTCTATGTATTAAAAAACTATAGAGGTGTTAAACAGCAAAAGGTATTCCCCTTCAGACTGCATAATACAACTCGCATAATATTAGAAACCGCCGGGAATTTATTTCGATTTTCAAAATGTATTCTCAACATTTAGTAGTTCCTGAAAAATGAGAGCCCCTACTAGAATAAATAAGGACAAGCGAGAGCTTAAAAATAATTATTACTCGGCATGACGATAACCAATAATATCCGATGGCATTTTATTAAGTTTTATTAGAGAAGTACTGATGTAGGCAACTATTTTGCTGCGTCCAATCCAGAAGAGATGTGGTACCTGGAAGAACCCCACAGGAGACAGTTCTGTTAGACGGAGACACTGGCAAAATACATCGTTTTCTGGACTACCTAAATAAAATTGAGTGTACTACTTCGACTGTAAGTTTTAACTGCCTTAACTGCAGAGTACATTCCTACCACTAATCTAGTGCACATTATCAACATTCACCTGCCAAATACAGGTTTACATGTCAAAAAGAAACGTTTTAACCATTTAGCGTTAAACAAAAAAGAATTTGTGGCCAAAATACAAACATCAAAAAAATAAACTAGAGCAAGAATTTTTTAAAAACATTACAAATATTTACAATGTGAACAGATATCAGCAACCTGGTCGGATATAAACGTTCTACAAATCATTTGTAGTAATGAAAGCAAACAAATGTCCAGAAATAAAAACCGCTAAATAGCCGAAATTTTAAAGAGATTCACATCAGCATATACAGATTTGTGTACAAGAATTCATTACTTAGTAGCATCAATATATTGCACAAAGCGAAAACCAAAAGACTGAAATCATTATGTTTAGGAACGCAAATATGGACGGTTGGTAATGACCGTCCACTTTAAATAGAGGGCAATGGTGCGCTTACATAAATACACAAAATACTTGGAAGAAGTTGATGTAACGTTTATCAGGTTATTTTCTCCTTGCAACTCCGTTGGACAATATGATTTGTACCGCCAACTTCATCTTCTCCATCATTAATCTCATAAACTCGATGTGGTTCTCCAGGTTTTAAAAGTCGTCCAATATGATCATAACGCTCTAAATTACAAGAAAATTATGTTATATATTTGTTTTCCTGAAAAATGACAGTGAACAGTAATGGGCATCGCCTGACCTCCATACATAATAATCATCGGGGCAATAACTGTGCAGATATATTTTCAGTACACCATTAATTTCATTTATCAAACTACGAACTAGGGCAAATAAGTCGTTAAAAAATACAATAGGACGGAAAACATTATGATGAGAAATGCACTGAAACTGATGTTTTATGAATTTGGATAGTATCATATCGTTCACGAAAAGCATTCCCTCTCCAGTGGAGCTGTGGTTTTAGCATTTCACAGTTGACCAGTTATTTCAAACTTTGGATTCTACTTCACATATTTCCGTCTGCAGAAGATATTTCAATAAAATTTCAGATAATGCAGATAGGATCCGGGTACAAAAGACGATACCTTGTAATGATTTAGTCTTTCATTACAAAGAAATCCTACAAGTACAAACAAACGCAGAAACGAAACGAGTTTTGATTAACTCCATTTGAATGTTGTTGGGACAAGAAAAGTTAAAATCGTCTTGGTTAACTAATATTCCACTATGCAATTAAGCGACAGTTCGACAAGAAGCGTACACCGAAGTCTTCGAGATAACTACAACCCAGATTTGAAGTGCAGATTAATCAACAATTTACCTTGAGTCTAATTGTGTTTCCACATTTTTCCATTCATCTTCTAAATTTTTTCCTTGTTAAAAGGCGTTTTATGTTCACTGAAAACTTTATTTCTTCAATTTTGTCTTCTTTACTGTTACCTTTTACTAAATTTTCATATTTTAGGTGTGATAACTTTGACCACTAGGTAATAATGCTATGATGATAATGTATGATTAGGTAGTGGTTTTCACGGAAGTAAATGTTTTTCAGGATTGCCAGCATACGACGAATAACGCTGTCTTTACCAAAGTAGAAAAATATTTTTTCAAACTGCCCTTTATTTGACGAAATGAGTTTTTTGCTGATGATGAATTCTCTGAGTACCAATTTAACACGGTTTAGACCAAATCAAAAACTTACGAAAAGATCTCGTGTTAATTGTCTCAGGTATCTGTTCCTTCGGATTTACAACCATTCCCGAAAGATAGGACCATCGTCACTTATTTGACATCCTTTTTATTTACTTCAAGGGTGAACTGATTTTCTATAATGTGGCCACTAATTATATAGACCATGAAGTCATGGAAAGGAGTGTACAGTGAGTAGGTAATTTTAGAAGCTCAAAGAATCAGTGGTGCAAATTCTTCATTGAGTTGACTGGAAGCTCCACATAATGACTCAAATATTTTACCCTCCATTATCGAAATCCCAAACATTTTCATAGCTGTTCACTACGCTATCCCGTTCTATGTGTCTTTGTCTATCTGGTTTATAATCTCTGAATGACTCGTTTTAACATAGAACTTTGCACAGATGTGCAGCGGTTCGAGTCGCCACACTCCCTCCATGTAGCACACGAAGCAAGAGGAGAGAGTAAAGACAGATTTAAAAGAGATATAATAAACAGAAGTGTGAGGCGAACAGAATAGCAATGTATAAGAAAAAAAAGAGTTTAATTTGGATATGACAACAAATCACAGAGAGTGAATGAATCTGAGCCGTTGAGAATGATTTTGAGTCATTCCACTAATTGTCTCCAACCATTGGTTTTCACCATCCCTAGGACGCCAACTGGAAAGTTCACACCTTCTTACTTGGCCTAAACTAGTTGTTGTGGATTTCAATGAACGATGCCATGTTTTGGTTTAACCACCACTAGCTCTTTCCTAACATGTTATGTCAGCTAACACTGCCTGTCGAGGGAGGTGATATCTAGGCATGCGCAACACTTCTTAACCACATCAATCGGTGTAACTCTACAACCTCGTCGATCGATTTCCCCTCCCTCAAACTGACAGCGTACGTGAAGAGTTTTCCAAAAATCTCAATTCATTTAGCCATTGGGTAGTTAACTGAGAAGTCTCAATTACTCATATACTATCATTATTGAAGCTACTTCTGAATAGTGTGAACCTTGATTTGGTGCTTACTACAATTAATTCACTTTCTAATTGTGCCAGAATATTCGCTCAGTTACATTTGGCCATATAGCTGCACCAATGAACAATGTCTATAAAACAGCGTAATTCATCTCTTAAAATCGTGCAAGGAACTGAGTAGTGGATCACTATTATCTTTTCTAGTGTAAAGTTTAGGCCAGTAACAAAACACATCAAAACAAATGGATATCCATAACGACAATACAGTTACATATTATTGCATTACATGTTGCCTAAAACAGATTTTGTGTCGTGTTGAGCCTCTGTGTGACGGTTCATGGAACTACGTTACACAGCTATTAACAACTGAATAATATAACAAGACATGCTGTATTGAACTAAAGTCAAGTATATGTCCCAATGGCAGGATAAACAGATAAGTATTAATGCATATTCGCGATTCCGGCGTAAATCACTCGAACCACATTAGGAACACACTTAGTCAGCCTCAAACAATTACTGTAACGCCTTCATGGATAACCAGTAACACAAATACAAACTGTACCGGACGAAAAATATCCTGTTCAGGAATGTAGTATAGGAGACGGTAGTACATACTCAAATATTACTGATTTAAAGATACGTAAAATGATAATTGAAACAGCGGTTCTAGTTCAAAAAGATAGAACATACCAGAAAACTGAAGTTCCCATTCTCTCAAGGTCTTCATCTGATCGGGAGTAAGATCTGAGAGATCGTCATACTCATTTTTAGTCTCCAGATTGAAACATGCTAGTGCTCTGGACGCATCTTTGCCAGCGAAAACTGCATAAGGTGCTCCTTTATTCATAAAATCATAATGATATTTCAGTTACCTTTGCCGTAGAACTCCTGTCCGTTATTGGTGACATCGAATATTTTACCATTAACCGCTATCAGTATTCGCTTGTGCTCACCCTTGCCGTCAAACTTTTGGAGCTCTTCTAACGTAAAATCACGTTTACCCATTTTCGGGACCTGGATTGTCTTAGTCTTTTTCTTTCTTAACAGTGGCCGAAGACTCAAATACACAAGCAGTGCACATATCAGGAATAAAGTTATATTCAGAGGACAGCTGATTGCATCAATCATTGCCACAAAAAAGTTTTGTTGTACTGTAGTGCTCATATTTGAAAAGTGGCTTGACCTAAAAATACCATGACGTATACAAACAATTGGTTTGTTCGAAAAAAACTTCATGGAAGATGATTTTGGACGATGTCCGTTTTATCTACTTACACCAGCTGCTAGTAATCCTGTTAGAAAAATGTTGTAAGTTGGTTGTTTAAATTTCGCAGATTAATAAGGATAGTCAGCCTAAGGCCGAAATAGTGCTTTGGATTAGTCATACAGTGCAAATGCAATCTTGCTTCGAGTAAATCAGCAGGTCCCACAAGAACATACTTGGACAGAGAATTCGACTGATTTACAATATTATATGAGGGGTGATTACCTACGTACAGGTGATGTTACATAGTATTTTAAAATTTTAGACGATACTGCAGAGAGATGTAAGTTTTAGAGCACGCTAAGTCGACATGCAGCTCGTTAAAATGGATACAGAGTGTTAACATGTGATCACTCGTCATAACAGTAGGAACGAATCTCTTCTCTTCCTAGATAACAGCTTAAAGAGTCCTTGTAATATTTCGTACACATTCTGTCAGTCATTTCTAATATTTCTGCTTCGTTTTCACAATCCTGGCTCGTCTCTAGTATCTCACATCCCGAATGAGTTTCGCTGTAGGTTGGATGAGATATACAGAAAATGTCAATCAAAATACTTGGAGTGCTTCTGGATTACTTACAATATTTGCAGTCACAACGGCATTATCGCTCTTCACTAAGCTGAAGTTAACTGGCGATAATTCACTACCACTTCTAATCAGTTGTTCCCTGCTACCGTTGGTACAGTGGGCTATTTATTGAGTAACTACCGATGTCGTTTTTGCCCGTAAAAGTGACTGCAAAATTAGCTCTTTGCAAACTCTTCCGAGGAAGGCTGCAACAAAAACGAGGTAAAACTCCTCATATTCTCCATAACAATGTTGCTGTCAAGGATGATTCAGACACAGCTGAACACTCTAACAAGCACTCTTCCGACGCACAATATTTCTGTATGCATCGGATTTGACTCTATAACAAATGAAACACTGTCAAATATATGTGTGACTGTCGATGTTATAAAAACTGCAATGCATTCATTGAATTTCTCTAATATTCCAGGACGTGTCTCGATTCCCTCATCCTTCCTAAAAAATGGTGTCTCCGATCTTTCTCTCCTTTTGCTTAAAATATTCTCAACGTCCCTTATGATCGCACTTTATCCTTCCGAATGAAAGCAGACATATATTATCCCTGGATTTAATCCGGCTCAAAATATGATGTAAAGAATTACAGGCCGATCGATATAACTTCTCTTGTCAATTTAGTTGAAGTAAGTTGAAAATCCCCATTCAGTCATATAAAAGAAAAGAAGGCGTTCAGTGAAGAGACTCTTTTCGGCGAATATATTCACTGAGCTGTACAATCGCATACATATACAATTTTGTTTGTGTGTTGGCTTTTCTGTTTGTTTTCCATTTCAGCTCTGTCCGTGTGACCCAGGTTCTCGCAATGGCATCCAAGTCAACGTGTATTGGCCGTGAAGGAAAAAAGGGATGGATCCGTTTTTGCCGGGGAGTGTCAATGCGGTTGAAGATTGAACGATCAATTCTTGGTTGTTTGCTCAAAACCAACTTCCCCAATTTTCGCGGAGGCATCAATACGACAGTCATCGTCTCATCGGTTGCTGTTCAGAAAGAAGTCAGCAGAAAACCATCAGAAGTAATTTTGTGATTTATTATTGTAATATTTGTTCACAGACCTTAGTGGAAACATTTTTTATATGTTGGTGTAACAATAAAGAATTCTCGAGTGGCCAATCGGTGTTTTGGTTTTTTCGTCCGTTATAACTAAGCGTTTCTGAAAATCTTCAAGGAACGGCGTGAGCCCGAATGCAGCAAGAGCTGGGCATTGACGGTTTACGAGACGTGGCTGACATCAGTATTGCAGTCATCATTTCATCGTTCGCTGTTCGTTGGAGACAGAGAAAAGCTATCAGAAGTAATATTGTGATTTATAATAAATGTTGTTTTGTATTTCCCAATGAATGAAAAACAAAGCGACATTGTTTTTACTGACGTTTCGCTATTTAATGCTAATAGCTTTCTCAAAGTATTATTAAACCGGAATTTACAAAATCTAGGCATATATATAACAAAGAGTTATAGGGTGAGAAAAAATACAGACTTAGTTCAACTTAAAAGGACACACTGAAAGTCAAAATAACAATGAAGATCGTTCACCCCCTAACTCTTTGTTATATATATGCTGAGATTTTGTAAATTCCGGTTTAATAATACTTTGAGAAAGCTATTAGCATTAAATAGCGAAACGTCAGTAAAAACAATATCGCTTTGTTTTTCATTCATTGGGAAATACAAAATAACATTTATAATAATGAACATTATATACCCAATACCCAAATTTTTTCAAACCGTTAAAAGTGAACTTGGTTTGGACATACACAATTATTGTGATTTATTGCTATGACATTTGTTGTTAGACGTTGTGTACAATAACCTAATGATTGGCTCTGTATTGGTGCAAGAATAAACGGTTCTCGAGTCGCCAATCTGTGTTCTGGCATTCCGCGTTGGTTAATATAAATTGTTTCTGAAAGTCTTCCAGGGACAGTGTGAGGTCCAGCGTAGTAAGACCTGAACATCGACAGATGAGTAGTACAACTGCATCAATTCTCTGGCAGCAAAATCTTAGGGCATCAGAAGCGAGTTTTACTCTGTGCAGACGAATGTCCTTCATAGCTGGACAAATTTGTTTTACTGCACCGTTGGGATGATGGTTCTTCAAAGTTAGGCGATATCGCCATTTGTGGTTGCATCATAGCCCGTACTCGTAAGTTGGTTTAACAGTTTGGCAGCCAGTTGCATCTTTATTTTGGGTGATCAATACTTCTCATTCAGGATTTTTTCAACCTTCTGATGCATTGACATGGGAGTTTTTCAAAGTTGTTGAGTTATCATGTCTCCACAGCTTGAAGATCGATGTGGTATGTGTACTTAAGTAACTTCAAGTGCTGTTTAACTTCAGCTCTATTGCAGGTATGCTAAACTTCCACTACAAGTCAAGCAGAAGAGAAGAGGCTAGCAGCGAACTGCCAGAAGAAATCCATGTGGGTATAAATAAAACTTTAATGTCTGTTTATATACATTCCATTGTGGATAAAAAGTTTTATTTTGATGAAATCACGACGTTTTGCACCGCAATATTTACTGATGACGTCTTGAGAACGATTTATTGCCCACAATTATATCAAGGTTATATATATATACACGTATACAAGGTTATACATACATATACATATTCATGTACGTATATGTTCATGTTTACAAGGTGATATATATATACAAATGTAGTCATGCTTAGTGTATGTTGTTCTCTAGTAGACATTTATTTTGTATTTTCTTAGTCTTTTTATACATCTATTCATCTAGTCTCATTATCGTTTATGCGGAATAATTAATGAAGTTGTACCTTTTGTTAAACCTTCCAAGTCTCCTAATATTTGGTTCCCTCAAGAAATAAATAATTTGTTCATGCAATAAGTAGAACCAAATAGGCTGTACAGAGAGCGTTTGAAACTTATAAATATAAGTATAAATAAATTTATTCTCATGGTACAGTACATGAGGGACGCCAGTTTACAGGCATCATCAAATTGTTACAGAAATAGAACCATATTATTCAGTCACAATTAACAGTCGATGGTAAAATATGTTTAACATGTACGCTGGAGATTATACATACACTTGATAAATGTTAATCCCAGTAGTATAAAACATCCTTTTCACTTATGTACAATCATTTCTGTGCATAGTTGGAAAAATCCGCTAGATTGTCAGTGAGTGCAACACATCAGGAAATACAGAAGTATTGTCTTCACATAAACAAAAAAACCAGGTCTTTGGTGGATGGGTTATAAGTGCCTGGGAAAAAAAATAAAGCTTGAAGTCAATTTTCGTACAATACTTTGTTGTGTACAGAGACCTTGAATTATAGTTCATTGATGTGTTATTTTGAAATCAGTGATATGTTTATCTCATTTGATCTGCAATGTCATTGTTGGGAGTAAAGTACATAAGCTTTAGACGCATTAATTAATGGATTTCTACTGCTTGTGGGTATTTACTTCTCGTGAGGAAGGTTTTTGAATTTTAACCAAGGTGCAGACTCTGATTTATACGGGTGAGCTATTCCATATCTTGGAATACATGAATGTGAAGAAGTTTTCGTGGAGTGATACGTTAGAGGCTTTTTGTCACTGTGCATGTCAGGTCACACAGATCGAAACAGCCCTGTGGTGAGAACTGTATGTCTTTATTGACTGAGAATGATATTTTGTGTAAGACCTTTGAGAAAAGTGTCAGATTTAGAATGATTCATCTCGGCTAAAATGGGTCAAGATTGGCAGTCATACACCGTGGAATGTAGTCTTTCTTACCATCGTACCCGAGTGGTTTTGATGTGGAATATCGTTGGATACTTTACATTATCTCACATGCGAAAGCTTCTAGTAATAAGTGGACAGTATGCTTATAGTGTCTTTACATATATTTTGCATAGAATGAGATTGGCTTCACTTTTGTGAAAAGTCCTAATTATGCGTTCTAAGAGCATCTTCTACTTTCGGGTCCGCGATGTCGCTTACTTAGAAAATGCCAGATCACTAGATTGCCTCGGGCCTAAATCGACGACAATTTGGCGTCTCTGCAGATTAGTAGGTTGAAGCACTGAGGCGGATATAACCACATTTGTTCAGACCAAGTTGTAGATTCCATAAGGATGACCAGGTAGTCACTTTATCTAATCCGTTCTGTACAAAATTCTGAAAGTATCCTAGGTCATCA